GTGGCTGCCATGTGGCCTGCACTAGCATCTACACTGCCTCCTCTTAGGCGTATGAATTATAAGCAGCTGGTGGGCAGGTGCTTTTGTTAACTCAGAGTGCCTGACAGAACTTTGAGCACACCAGATGAGTATCATAAGTGCTTGAGAGTTAACACTTGTAGCAAACCCTTTGTCTAGGCCCTGCTGTTGGGGACGCTTATTGGTTCTCACACATAGTAGGCATGGTGATGAAAGAGAACTCACCGCCTCCTCGGCCTGGCGCTTGTAGGCCTTGACCTTCAGCTGCAGCTTGTCCACCAGGTCCTGCAGCCGCAGCAGGTTCTTCCTGTCCTCTTCCGTCTGGGGGTAGGGGATGGGCAGGAGTGAAGATGATACAGTCTACGAGGTAGCATCTCGCCACCCTCCCACCTTCTCTTGTCTTCTTTACTTGAATCTAATATCCTGATCCAGTTCTACTTTCTGATCCTCACCAATGCTTGAATTCTCCTTATAATTTCTTACCAAAAAAGTGTGAATATTTTAAATGATGTGTATCATGAAAGAGTTGGAGGAGCTGATGGGACGCCTGAAATTACGCACAAAATTGTGTGCGTGCGTTGCTCTGGGGAGCAGGCCCCTGAGGGTCCTGGGACCTAATGGAGGATAAACTCCCCTGCTCTGGAGCCCAGCATGTGCTGGGAGTGGCTTTGGGGCTGTGGGTGTGATGGACTTTCTCGGGCTGCAATGGAGATGACACAAACTTAATCTAGGTTAAGGACAAAGTGTGCTTACAAGGATGGTGACATCCTGGATTGGAACAAAAACAAATTCTAATTGAGAGTCTGATTCTCGAAAGCACCATGGAAAGCTAGATTCTACACTGCCCTGTGTAATTGAAAAGCTTTGAGACTTGTTGGAATGGCTTTGATGTACTTTGGGTGGCTACCTATTTGCTTTCTGGTGCTCTGTCCTGGGTGAGTCCTTTCTGGAGCTCTGGGCGTGCCCCAGGGGACAGGCTGAGGGTGGATGTTGAGGGGGAGCTCCCAGGCCATGAGGCTCAGAGACTGACCCCCGAGTCGGGGGACATTCAGAGTGGGAAAGGGCTAGACAGGGTAGAACGGAGCTGCACTCCCAACCTCACCCCAGAAAAGGCTGAGAGCAAACCCCTAATTCCCCTTGGCGGTCATCACTGTGGCTTCAGGCCACGATGCAAGGGCCATGCCGGAGCCACCCACGCACCGCACCTGGTAGGTGAGCTCCTTGATGCGCCGCTCGCTCTTCCTCATGCCCTTGACCGACTCCGCATTGCGCTTCTGCTCCACCTCCAGCTCATTCTCCAGCTCCCGCACCCGCGCCTCCAGCTTCTGCAGCTGCTTCTTGCCACCCTTGAGAGCGATCTGCTCCGCCTCGTCCAGCCGGTGCTGCAGGTCCTTAATGGTCTGCTCCATGTTCTTCTTCATGCGCTCCAGGTGGGCGCTCGTGTCCTGCTCCTTCTTCAGCTCCTCCGCCATCATGGCGGCCTGTGCACAGGGCAGAGGTGGCACATGGTCTGGTCAGGTCCTCATACGCTCACTGCCCAGCCCAGGGAGACACTGTCCTGAAGCGGGCA